GCTCAACTTTTATAATTATGGTTTCAAAACTTAATATTTTTAAGAAATTAAAGTTTAGTCACTACAAATTAAAGTTGAAATATATATCAGTTAAGTGATAAATATGTGCATAAAAAATATATATAATTTTGTTCTTATTGATTTGATATAAATATCGAATGTCAGTAAAAGTTTATCGTTTTTAAATTTTGTTTGTGGCTATAAATTAAAGTAGCTGAGAATGATTGTCATTTTGGGTTGTATGTTTTCCTAAAGTTTTGAAGCTGTATGCATGGGCGAATATTGAATGCCAATTCGTTTAAAGGCAATTTTATCAAGTGATCCAATTCTTTTTGCAAGCTTGGTATAATATTTTGGCTAACTTTCAGATTTCGGACATTTGAAGTTAATTAGATAATAAATTACTTACTTAAACTAGGATTATAGACTGAAGAGACTCACTCTCATGTTATGACCTCCACTTTGTCACACTCACATCACGTATATGGACATGTCAAATTCGCAATAAGCTCACAATGAGTAGGTTCTCTAAGTTAAAGATTAGTTGAATTTCAGGCTTAACAATGGGAACAGGCCAAAGAAGTTAGGTTCAAATCCAAATTTACAGCTCAAAATTAAAAGATATGGCACATGCTTTTGGACACAGCTCGCATGTGCAGAAAAGACAACAGAAAGCAGAGGGTTGATAGAAGTTAGGGGTGACAAAATGGTTAAATGAAAATAGTTAATCATTCATATTATCCACTAAAAAATGGGTTGGATAATGAACTTTTTAAATACAGGTCAAATATGGATAAGAACCATATTATCCATTTAGAAAATGGATAACCAATGGATAATTAATGGATTAAACTTTAACATTTGTAAAACCTCAAATTGGGGGTTCCTCAAGTTTGGAAGAATTCTCTCAAAAGTGATCATATTCATTAAGCCATACCCATATTTTCCGCCGATTGATCCATTTTTTATCCGTATTAAATATGAGTCGCGTCGGACACTTTGTCCGTTTTTTCATTACCCGTTTTCGACCCGTGCCATATCGGACCCGACCCTCGTTTGCCACCCCTAATAGAAGTTAATCATCTAAAATATGTTCCCCTTAATGTAAAACTAAAATATTGTGATGGTCAGCATATATGTAAATCTGTTTAGTTAATGGCTAAACTCCAGCTTTCTCTTTTAGATGATAACATGCGAGTTTAGTTGAAACCCTGACGAGATAAGGAGTAGTTATTGGTGCAAAGTCAATATGGATAACATAGGCTGCCCAATTTGGTCCAAATTGACCCGCCAATGAATATGTGCCCAGCCCAACCGTCCAAACCTGTGCGAGTTGAGCAGAGTTATATTTTCATGGACTACCGTTTGCATTCCTATGAAAAACTCATACTAACTACCCATTGGAGTTGATTCATTGCAGAAATTGATTTGTAATTTCAGTAACAGTGCATTTTCTATATTGGGAGTTCGGGAATAAGCTTGTCTGACCTGAAAAACATAAAAGATATATATATATTCCGACTATTTTTAGTTTAAAAGATTAAGTGGACGACTATTTGGGTTAATTCTTCTAAAAGATATAAGGGCCTATTAGAATAGTACGGGGTGACGCCTATTTGAGGAAGGGTGGCATGACATGACAACTGGGTCCAACAATTGGCATTAAAAAGCCTACATTTAACATCTGGCATATAATAGCCTAAAGTTATTTTCTTTCTTCTAATGGTTCAACAATTATCCTAAAAAATAAGCTCCATCAAAATTATTTTCCTTAAAAATAGCAAAAAAAAAAAATTAAAACCCTCTCTCTCTTCTCTCATACCATCCATCATCCTAGAAATTAGGTTACATTTTCTTCAATAGTATCCAAAAAATCTCCCAAATTTCTCTAAATCATATTTCTAGTTTTTTATCTGTATATCCAAATATATATAATACAATAATAACTATGTTGTTTGTATATCACAATGTATAACATAACAACAACGCGCATATCAAAATTTTATTTTTCTTCTTTGTATAACCCATTTCAGATTGAAAACTTGAGTTTCAAGACGACTCCACCTGTATATCCCCCATTGTATTCTGTGTATATTCTCACGTATGTGGTATCTCATGTATATCATATGTATATCCATGAAAATTTGTGTTATATACAATATGATATACAAAGACATCCGTAAAAACCTGTGTGTGATATACATTGATGTACACGAACACAACATGATATATACATGTCGTAGTTGGATTTATTAGGTTTGATTTTTTATCTGAAACAAGTTTAAATCACTTCTAATCTTGCTCAAATTTTGTATATAGCATCGTCTAGGTGTTTTCAAACAATTCCAACACCCACTTGTTCAATCCAACAACAACCAAAATAGAGAGAGAGAGAGAGAGAGAGAGAGAGAATTGAACTCTATTTTTTTTTTCTATTTTCTCTAATGTGAGATCAACCTTACCTTTTCATCCCACTGATTTTTGTGCATAATTTGTAATAATTTTTTCCTAATCTATGAGAGAGAGAAAAAAGAGAGAAGAGGAAGAAATATGAGGAGAGAGGGAGAGGGAAACGGAAAAGATAGGTAGAGAGG